CCTGAGTGATGGACACCAGAGCAACGATTGCCAATTGACAAACTGCCTGAGCTGTGCCATGGACGATATGTTCCAGGACTTTTATGCAGTTGAGAATACCAACGGCTTTACAGCGGCTAGTATCCTGTCTGGATTCTGGATCTCGGAGAAAAAGGCTTTTGAAAACCTTGTAACCACCAAGGAACAGGACGCGCACGAGTTCTTCCAGTTCCTAGCCGAGGAGCTACATGAACGCAATGGGGATGGAAAGAAGCCGGAGACGGGTAGCGAGCATACCTGCAACTGTATCATCCACCAGACATTCTACGGCAAGCTTCAAAGCTCCACGACGTGCCAAAACTGCGGCGGTGTCACGAACGCCGTGCAATCTTTCCTCGATCTCAGCTTGGGACTCGAAAACCTTGCTCATAAGAGGAAAAAGGGCGGCCAGAAGATCCCGAGCCTGACACTTCAAGAATGTCTGGACGAGGAGTACGTCAAGTACGACAAGTGCGAGTACCGCTGCCACAATTGCAACGGCATGCAGCAAGCACGAAGAAATACCAGTATTAAGCGTCTGCCCAACGTGCTTGCCATTCAGCTGAAGGTCAGTCCGGCTCTCGCTTGAGCCATCATTGCATGCCACTAACCTGGTAGAAAAGCGCTTCGAGTACAAGCAAGGTCGCCACGACAGGGCGCCGTCAAAGATTGACACCGTCGTCAACTTTCCACTGCAGCTCAATATGCTGCCATACACGAGCCGAGGCAGAGGAACGGAAGCCAAGGATGCGCACGAGCTGGGCAGATCCTGCACATACGACCTACTCAGTGTTGTCGTCCATGTCGGCGAAATCGACACCGGTAAGTAATTTCCGGAGAACAAGGCAGCTGCAGTTCAGCACTAACTCCTTTTGCCAGGCCATTACGTGTCCTACTGTCGAGTGGGCGACCAGTGGTTCAAGTTCAACGACCACAAGGTCGAAATGGCGTCGAAGTCGGATGTGCTTAGTGCCCAACCCTATCTACTCTTCTACATAATCCGCTCCCTCTCGTAATCTCCACCGGGAAAGAGCACATGTTACGCCGAGCACATGATGAACAGCGTTCGATAACAAGGAGCGTGGGCAGGGGTTGATAGTCTGGGAAAACGGGAAAGGTGTCAGGACTAGCATTTTGTCGGCGTTGGAAAGAATCTCGGTCTTGCATCAACATTAGGTTTGGGTCTTTGGCAGACATCAAACGCATTGGATGGCAAGCATTGGCATCACATACCCTGGCGACCGGGGAAAGGCCATCTTTGTATAGAACAGCGAGAAACCAGCGAAGTGTACTACTATTTCAATTCACATCGGAGGGAACTGTTTGGTCTCTGTAATAAGAGCTGGTCCAAAGCCAAGAGAAAAGCGCTCCTCCTGCTTCCTCAACTCGCCTCGTTCCTCCACTTCCAGTCTCTGCACTCAAAGTTGGCGTAGCAGTAAAACTCGTTGCTAAGACCTCTGCTATGCTTGGGCTCAAAAGTCGTGGTTTTAACGCCCAGTGCCTTGTAAACCTTGTTGACAAGACTCTCCATTCTCTCGCCTGTGCAGACAACTACTCGTCCCTTGGAAGTGGGGTTAGACTTCATCATCCACCGCACCGTCATGGCGGCTGCGCTATTGTCAGCGCTTCGGAGGCTCAGTAACGGTTCAGGATTTCGTACCTTTCGTCTGGCAATCCTCGCTGAGAAACGGGGGGTCGCAAACGATGCGATCAATCGCGCCCTTCAGCTCAACTGGAGCATCGGGTATCAAAACACTATTCTTTCACAAATCTGTGGCCAAGAATGACGCACCTGGAAGCTTGAACGGCTGCTGGAAATCGTAAAAGACAAACTCGGGGAAAATGTTGAACCGCATGTCGTGCTCAAGGAGCAAAACTTTAGGCCGTCCCAGAGTGTGACCGCGGGCGTTCTGTTCCCAACTTTAGTTACGCACCTGCAAAAGGGTTGCTGTCCCTGATAACCATACTAGCAAGTTCCGCAGCGCAACAAACACGCTGGGCGCAGACACAACGCCAATGGTCATGCCGTCGCCAGCACCCTCTAGGAGCTGGCCGGCGATCAGGTTTGCCGTCTCGTCGGAATACTGCGCCCCAGGAAGTCAGTACGTACGACATTGAGTGAAATGAGGACTTCAATGGTTCGTACCCAAAACTGTGACTCGTTCCAGTCTTCAGTGAAAGCCTCCATGGATAGAGGAGCACCGCCGGCAGCATTGGCCTCGGCTTGCGCCTTGAGTTTCTCAAACTTTTCCTGATGGGCATCTTTCTCGGCGTTGAAATCAGCCAGGGCCGCGAGAGCGTGAGAAGAGAGGGTGCTGTTGATTGATGTAAGTCAGTTTCTGCCATGGTTTTTCGAGGGGCGTTTGATTAGTGGGGGTGCGTTTGGAGAGAAAATTTCCGACGGTTCTAACAAACGACTTACAGAGGCTCGTCGTCACTGTCCATATTGAGTCTACGTCCAGCAAGGGATCCGCTTCTTCAGGTCAGTACGGCTCGACGGTCGACGAGAGCGATGTGGTGGATCAAGTGAGCACTTGGATTTTGGTAATTGCAGCGCGAGGTAAACGGCGAAAAGAGGGTGGGGGACCCTATTTTGAGCGTCAAAACCCAGCACAGCAACCTCAACGAATCAGCTGGCATCGCCAACCTTTACTTGACGATTACCGCTACGAACAATCTCACGGCCGCAGTAAGACTTGCACTCTTAAATGACGTGTTCAGACTGTACATGAATTCCTCGACTTTTGCAACTTGTCTAGACAGCTGACTAATATTTACACTCTAAACGACTTGCTGGCCCAGAATCAATCCCTCCCCCAAAAATGGAATCCAGGCTTACTGGTCGTCAAGAACGTGCAGGTACTTGCGCTCCTCCTTCTTCTCCTTCTCTGTTGCTGGGGGGAGGTCATAGAAGTTGCCGCTGCGGAATCCTTGCTGCAGCATAGTCAGTATCGGCCATCTCCAGATAAACCTCACACGCGGTCTTACCAGGTAGTGGTAGGTGAACTTGGCGATGTCACCGGGCTCAATGCCGAGGTCCTTGAACGTCTTTGCTGTCTCGTCGATTTCCTGGTCGACGAACTCACGCTCGATCTCGTCGGCGGACATGACGTCCCACCAAAGGAACTTGTTCAACAGACCGGCAACAGGCTGGAGGACCTTCTTCGGAACGTTGATGTGTCGGCGCTTCTTGAAGATTTCGCGGTCGACATACTCAGCAATTTCGGCCATGGAGTAGTTCTTGGGACCGTAGAGCTCGAAAGTCTGGCCAGCGGTGCTGTCATCGTAGAGCATCAGCTCGAGAGCCTGACCTACGTCGATAGACTACAAGTGTCAGGGCCCGCGTTTCAACTGATATTCGTGTTTCAAACGTACGTGAACGGGCCAGAATCTCTCCTGCATGTTGTTGGCAGTGAACAGGTTCATAACGCTGGCAAGCTTAAGGAGAAGGTTGTCTTCGAAGCCGAAGATGGGTGCCGGTCTCACGATAGTCGTCTCGGGGTAAATGCTGCGGGCGACCTGCTCTCCGCGCGCCTATTGGACTGGTTAGTCCATCACTTTTGTCTTGAGTATTCTGTGTCTAACCTTGGTGCGGTAGAACTCGGATGGGGAGTCCAGGCTGGCGCTGTGACTCGACATGTGAATATAGCGATCCACGTCGTACTTGGCAACAGCCTCAGCTATACGTTCGGTTCCCTCAACGTGAACATCCTCTAGCGAGAAGTTCCTGCGTGCGCTCTTAGCCATTGTCCCTGGTGCCCCTGCATACAGATAACCTACTTGGTGGGATAGTTTCGGCCGACCAGGTTGTAAACTACATCCGAATGTCTGACGCTCTCCTCGATTGACTGGGTGTTGTGGAGATCGTACTCCTGACGTAATGTTTAGCCATTGACCGCGATGAACCCCTCTGTTGTAGGGAGACCATACAATGAAGACGACTCTGCCCAGATCACCAGAGACCTTGAGATGCCGCTTGGCCATCTCCTCACGGAAGGGAATGACGACCGTACATCCCTGGCGGGCTATATTGGAGAGTCAGATGTGTTGCCACCGTCGAAGATATCCGCGACGTACCAAGTCTGTTCACGATGTACCGTCCAACTTGGCCCGTTGCGCCAAATACCGTCGCAGTGTGTCCTGTGATTCGTTTTTAGATAAAGTTCCGAGTCAAGCGAAGGAAAGCATACCGCCGAGGGAGTGTCTAGGAAGAACATGGTGTCAGCAGTACTCTTTGCCCGCGCAATTGAACCGTTCGCCTACCTTCCGCCCTGTGTTCGTAGGATAGGCTTGCCCGTCCGGGTGATGGCAACATCAGAAATGGGCTGCCTTCGCAGGACATTGTGCGCAACCTTCTGGGTTGACCGCACGGCGGTCGGAAAGGAGGCCATTGTCGGATATCGAGGCGGCAATGAATGAGTGCGATAGCCTCCCAATTGACTGCCACTTGAATGCTTTAGCGTAGCCGAAAGCTCCAAAGTCGCGAGCTTCATCCAGACCGGGGCGGCAGACGGGCGGGTCACGTGGAGGCACGGACCAGATTTGGTCATAGGATCGGAGAAACGGCCATTGGCTGTAGCATGGATCCGGTCGGGACCGTACCTCACTTCGCGGCTTAGGTAAGGATTGTTAGTCCCAAAGCGTCCCGAGTAGCAAGAGTTGGTAGGTACATTAGGTAGGCAGCACGTAGCTGACTGACCAGGCTGCTGGCTAGCCGCGTTATGTGCATCGTCCCTCCGCTCCGGAGCTTGCATCCATCACATACCAACTGCTTTACAACTACACGAAGCTTCCGGCGTTTGGCACCACCAAAACAGACACCCGGTCTCTAGGCAGTAGCGTCTCTACCACATACCTACGAATCGAAACGAAACCGTGATCATCGCCATCAGCCTCGATTGTGTCGTCGCCCCGGGCACTCGAAGCTCTCCCACCCCACCACACGAGCCTCAACCTCAACCTCCACCTCCACCTCCACGAAGATGAACGTTGACACAATTCCCGATTTCCTGGCGGAGCAGCGCGACGAGGCCCCCGAGGAGCTTCAGCACCTTGTTCTGGAGTTCGAGAACTACTGGGAGCGGAAGCTGTGGCACCAGCTTACCGATGCTCTGGGTCAGTTCTTTAGCCACCCAGGCAGCAAGGCCCAGCGGCTGTCCTTCTACAAGGTCTTCATCCTCAAGTTTGCGGATAAGATAAACCAGCTTAAGCTCGTTGATCTGGCTTTGAAGGCCGCCACGGAATGCAAGGGTAAGAAGCATTGGGACCTTGACCAGTGATGGTGGGACACTGACAAAGACGGCATAGACGACGAGGAGCGCCTCTCTTTCCTTCAGGGTGTTGCGAAGAAGGTCGATAGCGAGAACTCACAAGATGCTCTGGTGTACGCATCTGTCGCCGTTGCTAGAGTAAAGTTGAACTTGGAGGATATGGACGGCGCCAGGAAGGACCTCGATTCGGCCGAGAGAATACTGGACAGCTTCGATTCGGTCGAGACTATTGTTCACGCCGCCTTTTACGATGCGAATGCCAATTACTACCAGGTAGGAAAATCGTGGTATTATCGATCTCGGGCCGTTACTGACAGAAATTTCCCGTAGCGCAAGATGGACTTTGCCGCATACTACCGCAATGCCCTCCTATACCTCGCCTGCATCGACCTCAACTCTCTCACAGCTCAAGAGCGCCATAGACGGGCGCTGCACCTCAGCATCGCCGCCTTGGTATCCGACACCATCTACAACTTTGGCGAGCTTCTTCTGCACCCCATCCTCGATGCCCTCAAGGGAACCCAGGACTCGTGGTTCCGCGACCTGCTCTTCGCTTTCAACCGTGGCGACCTCCAGGGTTTCGAGGCTCTCTCTGCCAAGATGCGCTCAAAGGAACTCCTCAACGAGAATGCAGGCCACCTGCGCCAGAAGATCTACCTGGCTGCTCTGACAGAGGCCGTCTTCCGCCGCCCGCCCCACGACCGCGCTATGTCTTTCAGCACCATCGCTCAGGAGACTAAGGTTCGCCCTGACGAGATTGAGCACTTGATCATGAAGGCCCTGAGCCTGGGTCTCTTGCGTGGAAACATTGACCAAGTGGATGAGGTTGCGCACATTACTTGGGTCCAGCCGAAGGTTCTTGACATGAAGCAGATTGCCAACATGCGCCAGCGGCTGCTTGACTGGGACTCTCAGGTTAACCAGCTGGGAAACTGGATCGAGACGGCCGGTGGCGATGTGTGGGCTGCTTAGGGAAGAGGAAAGATTACGGGCTGACCAAAAAGGCGTCTGTAATGTTGGTCGGTAGGAAAGACCAGTGTACACCACTAGAATTAGAGAGATAAAGAGAAACTGGCCCTTGATGGTGGGCCAAAATGATTCTGATGACAAACAAACGACAACGGCCTCCATGCCTCTGATATACAAGTCCTGATTTAATGGTTGCTCGAGAACATGCCCTCTTCTTATAACGCCTCACTGTCTTTTCTTGAATGCCAATGACTCGAATTAAGCCCTTTTCGCTGAGGACGCAGGGTTCCCGAGCACAATAACCGAACCCATCAGCCAAGCAGGCCACCACACGCCCCAGATTATGACAGGCGTGTACATGCCCCAAACGTCCCAACCGAAAGCCGCTTCTTTGAGGACCTCCCCAATGCTAATACTGAAGTAAGTCGAGACGGAGTACAGAGCTGCCGTAGGTGAGATAAGTTGAAGGAAAGCCGCGCAAGCCCACCGAACGGCAGGATGGTGCGGCCATGGGTGCATGAAGGAGAGTGGACTGGCCATAACCCCCACAAGAAAGGCCAGAGAGAAGTTAAGGGTGGCTAGAGCGGAGAGAAACATGCCCAACAAAAGTAGGGAGAAAGACTTGATGAGCTGGTATTGCTGAACCGTAGGGTTGTAGACGGATGTCATCAGCGAAGAGATGAGGAAGGGCAGAGCACAATTAGTGAGCGAAAAGACCGTGTACGCCCCAGCAAGCATCTGTTGCAGCTGTCAGAGAAAAGCAAAAGAATTCAGGATTCAGGATTGGTCGAAACTTACACTTGCGGGCATGTGGTTAAAGACGTACAGCGGAATCACGCCCAGGAACTGGCAGATGGCCACGACACCGAGCGGTAGGAACAGATCCCGCTCAACGGCTCTAGTGGGAAGCGTGTGTTTGTCTGTCTCCCGCAAAGCATCTTCGGAAGACTTATCATTCGCGGTGACTTCACATTCTGACTTGACCACAATGGGAGGCTGTTCTTGATGACCACTTTTCACCCACAGCGAAATGGCAGTGATTGTGAAGCTTGCTGCCAAGATCATGGCGCTAGGCAGATAGGTGCCGATGCTGACGAACCTCTCTTTATGCATGAGCAGATAGAAGAAGAAACTCTGATGGAGGTGTTCGAGAAGGTTGTTCAGACTCCGGAAAGTGCCTTCGATCGTACGGCCCATGCCCATCTCGTCATGCCATCCTTCACCGAAAGGCTGCAGTGTGACCGCATCGACGTGGTAAGGTATGAAGCTGCTGTGGGGGCCAGAGGCGTGTCCCAGGCCTTGATTCAGCATGCCTCGAAGCATAGTACGCAGACGGTCCTGGTACTTGTCCGAGTGCGTCCACATCTCTTGAATGGCGGTTCCCATACCCATCTGGCCCCCGGCAATATTGACGACAGAGTTGATGAGATCTAGGTTTGGAAGCTGGCCGTTGATGCCGTCGTAAATGATGTGGATGGACTCGAACCGATGTTCCTGGGGATAATCAATGGCAATGGCGCCTTGGAGGGCGCCGGACTTGAGAGGCAGAGAGTTCACTCTGGAGGAGTCATGGGAGTCGTGGTAGGCGTCGACCCACGCTTGGGTTCCTGTTCTGCTGTCGGGGGGAACAACCAGGATAATGTCTTTGGACCATAGAGACCACCTCTTGAAGTACCGGGCCAGGGTCAATGCTAGCGGAATGCCATTTTGATTGAAGTGGCCATCGACCGTCCTCCAAGCTGCGACCAACACAATCGCTTCCGTCGCATCGCCACGTGGGGCTTGTAGGATGGCGTAAATGTTCTCGCCTGAGTAAATGTCGCCGGCCGACTCGTACGTGTAGTTTTGGCGACCGACTTTGAGACCGACGTTCTTCAGGATACTTTCGAGCTTGTCATTAATTCTAGATTGGGATGACCGTCAGCTTGTGGCTATGGGGTGCTTCAATGGGAGTGCACACACTCGTAGTTGGACCTGTCCCTGACCGAGTTGACCTCTTGCTTATACGCCCGCAGTACGTTCTGGTCGCTGCCTCCGAAATAGGTGTGTACCTGACCGGGAAGAAGCGCATTCTCGGAAATGTAGGTTCTTCGGGAGTAGTCGTTGAGCGGCAGGAGGAACAGCCAAGCAATACCACCGAGGATGCAGGCCAGAGAAATATAGGGCGGAAGCTTGAGGATGCGTGGATCGCGTCGCAACGAAAGGGCCGAAGCTATTAGGGACAAGTCAGAGCTGCTCGATGCCAGTCAGGGCCACGGCGGGTTGCATCCTCACATATCAGTCGTGACATGACGATTTCGTTCTGCGGCAGCTTCAACAAGCTGCGCAATCGCACAAATCTAATCGACCAGTCTGCGTGGTGATTCTTTTGAAGACAGTCGTCATCTCCAGGGGTTGTTGTTCGTACCTTGAGGTCAGGCCCCTGTCAGCTAAGGTAAGGTACCTACGCTACGAGTGCGTTACCTGTGCTGTAACTTCGCGACCCCAGAAATCGGCGCCCAAATATTCATTTATCCGAGCGCGTTGGCCAAGCTTACCTACCTACCCCTGATCAGATGGCCCGGGGGTATTGAGGCCCGAGAAACACAATTCGACGAATACGCAGGGACACGTCCAGGGTCTGGTCAAAAGGCCCCGTCAAAAAAATGTATACTTTAGCTTCTCTTGCCTGTTGTATGTATCCTCTACCATCGATGTTTGGTAGGCGTGCAGGATTCAGGTTTTGCTAAACAATTTACACACCCATGAAATATCTTATCATTCAGGTTTTCAGACTAACTCTACTCCAAGCACCTGGGGTTTTGTAAGTGCTGGTCTAAGCGCACCCCGAGAATGGGCGAGGACGAATCCTATTTTATGATATACTACAAAGAGAAGCCCCTGGCAGAGGGACCAGAAACAACACAATGATGTCCCCTTTTGCCCGTAACGTAACTCCAAACTCCTACCAAGACGCAACTCGTCTGCTTGGGGCAATAGATCGAATATATAGTACAGTCCGGCGTTCCTGTTTCAAGGACCGAGTCTCTGCGTGCTGCCCACCAGAGCAATGGGCGCGCTTGTACCGGGAGGGTGGCTGCTGGAGGGCAAGACACCGAAACGACCGTACGTCTTCTGGTCGACGCTTACGTAGTGAGGCAGACGTCCCAAGAGGTTCAGCTTCGACTCAACCCACCGCAATGCCTTCTCCGGTGGGCTCAGGAACTTAAGATATCCGAGACCAACTGAAGGCAGAATGTTAGTGTTCCGGAATGAGAAGGGTGGTTGCACGTCGTGACTCACAAAGATATCCAACCAAAACACTACATAGATGGCCTAGTAAACTCGTGCCGGGAACGAGCGCTGTAACGACCAGAACGAGGATCAATGGCGTTGTCCATGTAGGAATGGAGTGGGTCGCAATCGTCAAGTAAGGGTTCGTCTTGTATGTGCGGATAGCCTCCATTCCGAGAAGAAGAAAGACCCATACGCTGTGATGCGCCAGACATCAGTCTCCATTTCAAGGTTCCTACATTCATCAAGTCTTGGGTTCTCTTCCTCACCTAGCGCCCATAACACTAACATTGCCCTTGAAGAGAAATCGCTCGATCAGCACGTATACGACAGCCGGAATCGTTGAGAGCGCTGTCAACAGTTCAGTCAGAGATGGATCGCAGGGATATTGTGAGGAAGTTCGTACGGCCGATGAACAGCGCAATAGACGTCAGGGTACCGAACTCGGCCTCGAATCGCTCCAGTAACGGTGTCAAGGCAACAAGGTTGAGGATGACATGGATGAAATTAACATGAACGAAGGGATATGTATTCATTCGGTACGCTATTGAGGAAGCCGGAATTAGCAATTCGGTCTTCGCAGAAGAGGATGCGAGAGGGGCTCACACGACGTGAAGGACAGCTGGTCTGGGATCAACGCGCCCCATTGCTTCACGTCCCAAGCCGGTTGTAAGCTGGCAGCCCATGCTGCCACAATTGCGAGCAACACGATGCGCGTAAAAAGAGGTAGCCGAAAGATATAGGACCGGGCCCTGAGAGTGCTGAAGGACGTCACGTTGGAGGCCATTGTTCCGCCTTCTTCGGATCCGACGACGGCAACAGTTCCGCGCGATCCTCAGGGTTCCGCAGGCCAGTTCTGGTGGGGTTTCCTTGATATATCCTCTGGGCGATCGCTTCGGTGGAAAGTTGATGTCGGGCGACGCAGGAACCTCGAGTTGGGATCAAGCACGCTCGTGTCTGGCGGCGAGTGGGAAATTGAAGACAGCCTGTCGCATGCCCACTGCCCTCTCGGGCCTCTTCGGACGATCCTCCAAAAATGCCAGATAAGGACCAGAGTTCCAGACCGCTCGGCTTATCGCCACGTGATCTTATCCTACCAGCAACATTAGACATGTCACATACCCGACCCAGGCTACTATCCCGGGACACTGACAATCTTGTATGTATCGGTACCTACCTTACCTTAACAGTGTACGTGACCTGGGTGCCCACTACCTGACCTAAGGTAGGCACCTTAGGTGTGGTGCACCTGGCAGTCCCGTTCGCTTGATGGGTCCGGAGCCGAACAGACACCCGGACCCCCGTGAGCGGTGAAGCAACTTTTTTACAGTTGCTGCCAAAATTCTGCCCCGCCATTACCATCTCGACCTACATTTTTGGGAATTCTGCCACCTTCAGCATCCCGAACGCGCCTGCGATCCTCGCTCTTCCAGCCAACTATCACTGATAAGCCAGCAAAATGGGCGTGGGAAACAAGCGGACATTGACCAAGACGCGGAGGAAGTTGAGGTAGGCCCGAAGACTTCGCATTGCATTCAGGGCGTTTCTGACAACCTGGACAGAGACGTCGACCAGATCAAGGCCGACATGCTTTCTCCACGACATTTACGGCAATGGAAGGACACGAAGGCGCCTGAGGATCTCCCTGGCTTGGGTCAGCACTATTGCGTCGAATGCGCCAAATGGTTCGAAACCGAGATCAGCCTGGTCGGTCATCAGAAGGGAAAGCCTCATAAGCGCAGGTTCGTGCCAAGTCGGCATCCGCTACATATTTGGTCCTCTTCGTATTGTCCCACTGCTAACTATTCTCTAAGAGTCAAGCAGCTCAAGGAGGAGCCCTACACCCAGAAGGAAGCCGAGGCTGTCGTTGGTCTTCGAACGGATAACAAGGGCCCTAGCAAGGGCGGTCCGGAGAGGGCCATCGACCAGGAGGTTGAGATGGAGACCTGATCGTCTCCGCCCACACGTCTACCTGTGGCTTGAAAGTAGACAACTGAATGATACCCTTTCGCTATGACGAACTGAAATGGCCACTGTATCATCCCGTTCCCACTTCCCAGCACTCGACATCCTCTGCACTGACGCCAGTAGAATCTGGCGCGGTGGGCAAGCAGTACCTCAACTTGCATCGTGTGCCATGGCGAAATCTCCATGGAACATACTCATCGGACACCACGGCCTCGGGCACGGGCCAGACCGCTAGGCCGGCCTCTTTGCGACTCGGCGGCTCCACGGCGTCCTCCTCTTGCGCCACGGGCTGAAGTGCCACGAGTATTTGGAGCCGGCACACGCGAGCCTCGTACTTCGGGTGTTTTCAATCTCGGGGTCGGCTTGGCGGATGCGGGAGGGTTGTCGACGAAAGAAACATCTGTGGTCCTGTTGTTAGGTTAGGAACTGTCCAGGGCGGTACTAGGGTAGCCTGGAAGAAATACATAAAGGTCATCTCGCCGTCATTTTCTGGCCCAGTGTCTGTTCGAGTGGGCGCTGTGCATACGAGACTCGTCAGTTCGCAATCCATGATCTGCAGATTCTGTGCGCTGAAAGCGAGGCGTACCTGAATGTGCGCCCGACTCCTCTTGCTGCCTTGCGCGTCGGAAAGATTCTGTTATGGGCCCCTTGTACCAACGTCAGCCACGCCTAAAAGCAAGAAAGCCGCTGGTTGGGGCACACGCACCTCTGGGTAGTCTACGCAGAAAGCGTTCATGTTGAGGCCGTACAGAAAGCTGGCAAAAGACTCGCTAAAGCGAGCCAAGCTCTCATGCATCAATTGGAAGTGCATCATGTTGGCTTCGAGGTCGGCCATGGCGTCGGACAGCTCAGCAAAAGCTGGCTCGAAAGTGTTCAGAGGGAAAGGTTCACCTCCATGGACGCTTTCTCTGGCTGATTCCCTGAAAGATGATCTGGAGGAGGGGCGTAGCGGGGTCGTGGGACGCGACGTACGCGTTCGAGAGGTCGACCGCTTGCCGCTGGACTCGGGGTGGTCGGCCATGCTAGGAGGCGGTGTGATGTGGATACGGAGAGTATAGAGATTGCCGACGATGAAGTGTTCGTGGTAGGTGGCTATCTGCGCAGCGTCGGTATCAGTATTTTCGCGGCGTGGCTATTCACGCGGGAAGCTGTCGAATGGGTTCGTGGGGCATCAACTGAAGCGAGAATCAACATCAACAAACCTGGAATGATGCGAGTGTCCGTTGCGCACGGCTGTTGTTCCTGTCTCTGGCGGGGTTCAACCTGACAACCTAAGGTACCTTAGCCCCCCACACCTAAGGTTGCCGGCCGGGACGAATCTAATACCACATCGTTGAGGGTGCCCCGGGCCCTGTAAGTTGGATCCCCAAAACTGCAGTTCTGCACGTGTTGGCGTGGAGGGGTCAACTACTGTACCTACCTTATTATAATAGGTACTCGACGGGGAGCAGAATTTTGTTCAATGTCACTGAATGACGCAGACCTCGGCACGTTACCTAGTAAGGCACTGGACCTTATTCGTCGCATGGACAGCTAGATAAGGTACGTCAGGTACCTGTATCCGTATTCCCCAGGTTCCCAGCCTGGGTGAGGTCGCGTGGGCGAGTCCAGTATCTGCAGGTGGAATGAGCTGTGCTGTCGGGCTTTTTCGCGCAACTTCGGTAGATGCGATACGAATGCCTTGAGCACTTCATTCATACGAATACGCAAAGTACGTCGTATTTCATCGCTCGGCTCCATTATTATCGTCTTAAACATCTGGATAGCAGTCAACAATACCGAAGGTACAGTGTAGGTAAGTTATGGAGGGCCAGGTAGATAGGGCGCAGCTTGTACCTACCTTACCTCTTTCGAAGCGTCTTCGCTCCTTCCCGTCACAGCCACCTTTTTTACAACCTGGAAAAGACAGTCACCTAATTACCCCTCCCCTCCCTTGCCCCAACACTTGCGCGCACACTTACTCACATCCGCGCTCATGGAGAAGCATTCGTCGTAGTCCACAGTTTCAGCATCACACCCGCCATCCACCGCTACACCTCCTGCTGATCTTTACAGCTGCCGTTCTCCAGACTGCCTAACTACTACCTACCCACATTAACGGAAGCTGTCCTGTCCTGCTGGTGCGTTTGAACTGAACCACTCACTTCCGGAACGCCCGGAGATTGAATAGCTACCGCAGCTTCTTGGTCGCCAGCAAGAGCATTCGATCCTTGCGACGGCGTCGTCGTCGTCGTCTTGGTCCACGTCTAAGCCTCCCCGTCCCTCCCTCCATCCCCTCCATCCCCCCCCCCCCCCCCCCTCCCTTTTCCCCTAACCCTGCCCTCCATTTGCTCCCGCCAGCTAGGTCTTCCGCCCGCATCATTCACGGCTCAGCATCACAGTCTGAGCGTCAGCTACCGCTCCGGCGCAAACCTACCTTGCGGCGCTCGCTCTCTCTCCGTTACTTGCATACCACCTACCAACAACAACGAGGCCACTGTGTACTGTCCGTAACTGTCGGCCGTGTGCTTGCCACATTGTCTGCTTAATATCGCTGCTGCTGTTGTCCGAGCCCACTTTAGGACCATCATCGACGCTCTGTTGTATGCGGTTGTGGTCCTCAACAGCATCAGACAACCCACGAACATTGGTACTCTACTCTTCGGTGTCTCCCTCAAGTTCGCGTAAGTGCCTTTGTGACTCTCAGCTCATCCCATTGTGTCATTACGGCATTTCTCCCTCGCCTAGTCCCAGACGAGAACTGTCTTTAGCAACACTCCCTCGGTCTCACCTGGTTGGCTCATTCACGTCGCCCTTTTGCAAGTGGCTTTCGTCTTCCACGCACCTCAAATTGGGATGACCCTGCTGACCGTGCCAGATTCTGTGTCAGCTGCGCCAAATTAGGCCCGGGCATTAATAGACCTTCTCGACTGATGCTGGCCAGCTTGAAACCGCAATCCTCGGCTTTGCCTCGCATTATCAAATTTCCACAAAGAGTCCTTACAACAACTTCGAGATACTACTTTGTGCCCTCGTCTTCGCACTTTGAACGACGCACCCTGGTTGAACTTCCCATTGGGCGAACCAACTGCCATCTCCTACCATCGAAGTTCAGGCGAGTCCGCACACACGGACTAGGACAGTCATCGGACCCCTCCAACTTGAAGCCTCCGCGCGTCTTGCTGCAGTCCCGCGTCGACTACGTCGCACTCTCAATCGCCGTTTGCTTCATTTGCCTTGGGTTCAGCCTGCAATACCAGCAATCAGCACCTGGCGCCAGCACCAACACCGACCCCTTGAGCTCCGAAAGCCTGTCGCTGGAAACCATGGCGTCCGGCATGCCCCCAGGAAGACCGGGAAATCTTACCCCAGACCAGGAAGAGAAGTTGCGCAAGCTGTGGAACCTGATTTTGTCCTTGGGCGAAGACAATGCAACAGCAGACGGCGCGGCCGCAAGCACAGCCCTGAGTGAGACTTCGACTCCAGGCAAAAATGAGAAGCCCAAGAAGAAACGCGTCTCACTTTTCAATCGCAAAGACAAGAAAGAGGAAGGTGCTTCCTCAAGCACCGTCAGCAGCCACATCAAGGACGATGGAGAAGACAAGTATGGTCAGACGAAGCAATTCCTCGAGGCCCTGGCCAGTCAGAGTCCCGAGGCCCTGCGTGCCACAATATGGTCCATGGTCAAGCATGACCACCCAGATGCCCTGGCTCTGCGCTTTCTGAGGGCGCGGAAGTGGGATGTTGATAAGGCCTTCGTGATGATGATCTCGACCATGAATTGGAGATTGACTGAGATGAAGGTTGACGAGGAGATCATGAAAAACGGCGAGGCGGGTGCACTCGAAGCTTCCAAGAGTGCGGACGCAAACACCAAGAAGCTTGGCCAGGACTTCATGGCCCAGGCCCGATCCGGAAAGACATTTATCCATGGCATTGACAAAGCGGGACGACCAATTTGCATGGTGAGAGTCCGTATGCACCGACAAGGCGAGCAGTGCGAGGAGAGTCTTGAGAAGTACACAGTTTTCTTGATCGAGACCTGTCGCATGGTTTTGGCCCCCCCTATTGACACTGCGGTATGTGCTGCTCCAAGGCATGGACTGGTAGATATGGTACTAAATTATTCCAGACAATTGTTTTTGACATGACTGGCTTCTCTATGGCCAATATGGTGGGTAGCATCACCAATATTAGCTGGCAGGTATGACTGACTATCATACCAGGATTATACACCAGTCAAATTCATGATCAAGTGCTTCGAGGCAAACTACCCTGAATCCCTAGGGGCTGTCCTAGTGCATAAAGCACCCTGGGTATTCCAAGGTTTGTTCACTCCGACTCGTGAGTGCCAAAATCTGTGATAGTTAACAAAGGGTAGGTATCTGGAAGATCATCAAGGGCTGGCTAGATCCTGTCGTAGCCAGCAAGGTTCACTTTACCAATAACGTCAAAGAGATGGAAGAATTCATTCCCACGAGCCACATCCTCAAGGAACTCGACGGCCAGGAGGACTGGGACTACAAGTATGTCGAGCCGGTCGCTGGAGAGAACGATAAGATGAAGGACGCCGCCGCGCGGGATGCTCTCCTCGCCGGGAGAGAAGAGCTCATTTCTCAATATGAGGAAGCCACACTGCAATGGATCAAGGAGGCAGGAACTGACAAGGAGGCTGGTATCAAGGCGCAAAGGGACGAGCTTGCTCACAAGCTCAGGGACGATTACTGGAAGTTGGATCCTTACCTGCGCGCCAAGTGTGTTCTGGACCGAACCGGCGTCATCCGCGATGGTGGAAACGTCGACTTTTATCCGAAGACTGCACCCGCCGTACCGACTAATGGTGCTACCAATGTCGAGACATCAGCAGACGATGTAGATTAGAATGTGACGAGATCGGCACGAGTTTCATGAGGCTATACACGCGGTGGAGAGATCCAAGAGAAAACAAGCTGGTGGCGCCCGGAGGGTTGTTTGAATTACAGGGACCTAGATGTTCTTCCTGCTGCTATACATAGCAGGAGGGCTCGAATATACCACTTTTGAATGGGTTTACATCTTGGACTTAAGGTCCTCAAACATCGCTTTGAGCTTATCCATATCGGTTGCCTGTTGAGGCCAACCGACACCCAGACCTTCGGCCTCGTTTGGCTTTGGAATCTAGCGAAGAAGAAGTCAGCGACGTATCCAAAAGAGAAGAACCGGAGGACAGTTACCATGTGGAAGTGAACCTGTATCGTGTCAGTCGTCGAGTATCGCGAGGGAGGCTGGGTAGAGTGTCAACTTACATGGTCGACCATCTGGTGAGCAATGCGACCATTGTTCTGGAGGACGTTGTAATCTTCGGCTCCGCTGGCGGCAACGAGTTTCTTGACGACTGGCTGGTGGCATGCTATGAGAAAACTGACGACTGCCAAAGAATTGTGAGGTAAGACATACGAGAATCTCCGAGAGGTGCTCGTCAGGGATATCAGCAAGCTTGGCACCGTGGTGCTTGGGAATGACGAGCTGTACAGAAGTTAGTCAATGGTTTAAAAACATGATTTGCTGGAATTCGAAGCAACTACTCACAGCATGACCGCGACTAAGCGGGTTGATATCGAGAAAGGCCAATGTCTTGTCGCTCTCAAAGAGCTTGAAGCAGGGGATCTCGCCTGTATTGGGGAGTCAACATCATGATCACGTTGATACTGCGGGGGTTCGGAGATGTATTGGGATCAGGTACTCTGGTAACTTACCCTTGATAATCTTGCAAAAGATGCACGAAGCCAGGGTGGATGTCATGATGGGCAGAAAATTCTTGTCTGCACAGGGGTGAGTGACAGATTTGTGGCAATAGTCTGGTCTCAGAGTGATTTGGGAGGCAGACGAGTTGAAGTTGGCAGATATGGACAATACCTTCGAGGGGTTGAGCTCAATACAGAGGAAGTACGCGAGCGGGGGTACGGAAGCAGATTGAAAAGAGTGGGTCGATTTGGGGAAAGGGTACTTAGAGTGGAAAAATGCTTGGAAATGTCGGAGTGGGACCTCCTATCGAACTCACCTCTTGCCTTTTACCAGATGTGACCGTTGGATGGCCCAACAGACTCCATTCCACCAATCTTTGGACACTTCTCATCTGGAGTACCCAGGTTCGACTTTTGTTTTGCCATATTTTTGGATGCTCCGTTCAATTGCACTGGACCGTGCGATAGCAAACATATAACCAGCCTGGTCCTAATGCGCATGCAGCTACAGTTGTTGCGCAGAGGAAAAAAAAGCACACAGTCAGCCGATGCTTGAACATGCAGCCTTGAGGCTGACTGCGCAGCTTCCAGTGCTGCCCAGCCCGAAGCTCCGCAGCAGCTCGAATTGGCGACATGATCCCTGGCCGCTCCGTCGTCATACCCCTCCATCCCCCTCTCCGTTTTTCCAGCCACCCCACCTCGAATGAGGCAGAGTAAACTTGGACGAGCCTCGCTCGGCACCTGCAAAACCCCACGTAAGGCAGCCAGCTAGTGCCCGCCGTTCGCTCTTTGGTGGTAATCTAGTCACTGTCTGCTTCATTGTTCAACTCTGTGATACCCGAACACTGCTTGTCAAATCAGCCTGTTCGTTTGCGCCTGACCCAGTGCCTGATTCGACCTCTGTAACTGTTCGACTTCGTCCTCGCAATCGTTGTCTGCGCTCTTCGACTTTTACATCACACTCTGACGGAGCTATTTTGCGACACCCATTACTAGCGACTTCACGTACGACTACGAAGCGACATGACCCGGTACAAGAGCACTCCCCTGTACGGCGGCGCCCTGGTCTGCGACTTGCCAGAGAAGTTTGCCGACGTGAGGTTCGTTCCGCTCCTATTGCGTCATTATGTAAGCTCAAAACTGACAAGGTCGTCCCGTAGCAAACTGCGCGAAGTTCCCGACAACCAGGAAGTCTGGATCGACCAGGATGGGTTCACCAGCATCATCTTTGACATTACTGAGCGCGTCGGTCCCGCCGGCAGCAGCCCCGAGATT